AGTTGAGAAATAGAAAGTTATCTTTTACTTGAATGTTTGAAGTATAGATCTGAGACCGTGACGTTAAGAAAAAACAACATTTCTATAAGCCATACAACTTTTAATAATAACAACAGATAATAAATCCAAAATTCTTCCTATACAGCATCGAACATGATCAACATTAAGAAGAAGCCTCTATATATAGATTAGCATTATGAGTGTGTGGATTGTATCTTCTCTTGCAGCACACTTACATCAGCTCTAGAGCGCGCCAATACAACCTTGTGCAAGTTCCCATGAAGTACATATTGCATCATCTCATGTTTCTATTTTCCTGCTGAAAGAACACTAAAGAAACGACTTCGCGCTTCTGAAATGTGTTCATCGAGCAAGAAAAGAAACGAGGCATGCGAAACGTGTAAGTTTAAGCAATAACAGCTGAATTTTACTATCAACCTGAATTGTTAGACCTTTATCTCAGTACTTATTTGGTCAAAAAACACGAAAAGCGTCTAATACTTTTAATTGTCTTGAAGTAAATCGACAGTCTTATTCGATTCAACTCCATATTAGAACTAGACTAGCTGTTGTGTCAATCGTTAATCTGAATCAGATGAAACTCTAAATGAACACATCTGTACAGGGATTTTTTGTTGCCACGGCTTTATCTCGTTTGATATGACCGTTGCTTTTTCCCATTGTTTTATATATTTTTATGTATTTGAATCGAGTGTCAATGACTTTCATAGACTCACATTATAGTTATACAATGATCATGTTGAACTCTTTTGTGCTTGATAACGTACGAAGGACATTCAGAATGCTTGAAAATATTGTTTTGGCAAGGTATCAGATATATGGTCATAGAAGTGAAGTAAAGTCAGTTGAATTTCAAGCTGTTTAATGGATAATATGACTGTATTTGTAGAAATTATCAATTAAATAGATTTTATAAAACAAAAGAAACAACGAATATCAATCCGTGTTACAATCGTTGTTTTAAATTGTGCAACTAAGCAAACAAAATACATAGTACTATTTTGAATAGTTTAATTCATCGTAATTGCTCATAATTTTTCAATAATAACAATATTTATAACAAATGATACAGGATACTTTCAAACTTTTAATATCTCAGGTCAAATGTCCTTAGCAATGTCGTGTGGCTTGCAATAACAACAAGACAAATGTAATAGCAATACTTTCTTTATGTTGTCTTATCTTCTGTCAGAAAGAAAAGGGTGAAACAATGTTCGAGCACGACTTTTATTTAATTCTATTTACAAGACAGGTGAAACACAGGTAAGCAAAGATTAGACTAGTTTACCTAGGTACAATTTAAAACTATTTTTGAAAAGAAACCTTTTCATTTTTGTTTCGTTAGAAAAATCGATATATCATTTGAATAGAGTCACTACACCCGGAAAAATCCCTAGATAACGAACTCCAGTGTTCAATCTTTGTTTCTGTTCGAACATCGTGTATCAATGTGCCTGTAATTAGAATAATAGTCATTCTTGATAACATTTAAGAGGTAGATAATGGCAATCTCTTGTCTATTTCATAGACTTACAGTTGCTTTTTTTTGTGCGCCGATCTTGATCTATACCAGTCATGTGTTGTTAGGTTAACATTGTCATGACTTTATCATCCAAAGACTTAGAAGACACTCTCAACAAAAAGAGAATCTTAAACGTTGCTAATAAATATGAGAAGAAGAAGAATACCTGTGTCTTTCAACTACCTAGTGGTATAGGGTTCTGCTTAGTGACAGATTCAATAGATCGATATCTTCCTTTCAATTAATATTTGTTATAGTTCTGGATAGAAGGCCAACTTAATGAGGAATATTTGCGTTTATTAACAGCTTGAGATTTTTATACACACTAACTAGCCACGTACAAGTCACACAAGCAGATGTATGTCACAACATAGTCAGCATGTTATCGGATCGGTATCCTAGACAAACATGCATTAGTGAGTGACTTGACCAAAGTCTTACTATGGCTAATGATACAAAGGTTTGAACAGAGTACCTTTTGAATATATGTCGAACAACGTAGCCACTTATCCATGGCGGCTTACTGGCGAGTATAATACATTATCCATGCTAAAAGCAGAAACTTGTATAGGATGAAAAAGGTATAACGACAAGATTTACTCTTTACACAGACAAAATCCATAACTCATTGTATTAGTAGTGGATGTTAATAGAACTACATCATATATGATGAGGTTCTCTAAAAAAATCCTCAAAACGAGATTTTAGATAATCATGTTGATGAGGATTTTTCTCAAGAGTGAAAACACTCATGAATCACAAGTCAATCGATGGAGATTTCCAAGCCCTATTATACAGGGGTTGTCATAATTATAGACCCCCCCCCCCCTCATATGTACATAGAAAAATGTTTATTTTATTACAATAAGGAATTATATTGATCTGCTAGGTG